TCCTAGCTCAGCTTGCAAGCTCAGGGGAGCTTCGAGAAGAAGTCGCAGTATCGATATTCAAACTCATTATTTTAAACGCTGTAAAAACCGAACCACGTGACATACGCCCACGAAATTTACACAAGTGACAGCCACGTGACTATGGATCAGACTGAACTCCCCCGCATTCGATTCCGCCACCATCGAAAAACATGAAAAATCGCAGATCGAATTCGAGTCGAAATTTTCGCACCAAAAATCGGTCAAACATCGCGAAAGCTCGCAAGCTCGCGCGGACAACGCCGATCTCTAGGGTACAATATCAGCTGTCATCCGTCCAAAGCTTGCCGTCCTAGCTCAGCTTGCAAGCTCTGGGGAGTTTCGAGAAGAAGTCGCAGTATCGATATTCAAACTCATTCTTTTAAACGCTGTAAAAACTGAACCACGTGACATGCGGCCACGAAATTTACACACGTGACAGCCACGTGACTAGAGATCAGACAGATCGCCCCCGCATTCGATTCCGCCGCCATCGAAAAACCCGAAAAATCGCATATCGAATTCTAGTCGAAATTTTCGCACCAGAAATCGGTCAAAAATCGCGAAAGCTCGACAGCTGGATTTAACCATACTCAGACATAGGCCACCCCCTAAGCTACCACGCCTGAAAATCTCAGACTCGCAGCTAAGCTTGCAAGCTGAGGTCAGCGTCGGATAGCGCCATTGGAAGTCGTTAGTATATAATAATTTTGACATTCGTCTAAAGTTGGCGTTGGAAGTATTTGTGGAATTTCTATGGAAAATCAGTGCGTAATTGTCATGGAGGTGGAAACTGTCAGAAAATGTTAGTTCGAAATTGATCTAGGAAATCAATAAATTACTGCCAATGCTCACGACCAAATTATAGGAAATTCTATTGAGAATTAGTGCGAAATTGGTTGGTTACCGATATCGTATTATCAATGGAATTTTGTCCGAAATTTGAAGGAAAAATATTTTTTATAAGTTATATATTAAATTTCTTTCAACTCTCATTTTACATTCATCTGATTCTTCCAGTCAGATTCCCCCATTGCCAGGCCTGACGAAAAATGGTCGTCGCGTGATCGTGATGCGAGGCATCGACAAGGACTTGCCAACACCGAACGTAGCCGAGGCGATGAAATTGGTTCTGATGATAGGCGACATACGTCTGAAGGAAGAATCAGTCGGTGTGGCGGGTGACGTGTATATCTTGGACGCCAGCGTCGCGACGCCGTCACATTTTGCTAAGTTCACGCCAACCATCGTGAAGAAATTCCTGGTCTGCGTTCAAGAGGCTTATCCAGTGAAGCTAAAGGAGGTGCATGTGGTAAACGTCAGCCCTCTTGTCGACACAATCGTCAATTTCGTGAAACCGTTCATCAAGGAGAAAATTCGCAACAGAATCTTCATGCACAGTGACTTGAATACATTGTACCAGTACATCCCTAGGGAAATATTGCCTACCGAATATGGCGGCGATGCTGGGCCCATTCAGGCTATTCATGGTACGTTAGCAATTATCTTTGTTAAGGTTTGAATATCGGATATCACGATACTAGGCAAACTGATAACATACACGTGGGATCGTATTTAGGTAGCTCGACTTAAGATAATATCGTTGGCTTCTAAATAGAATAAAATAAGCTTAGAATGTAAATAAATAGAATGACAGCGACTGGCTATGAAACAAGAGAGAGATTCGCTCTGGGCATCTTTCTTAAAATGGACTCTTTTAAACTGATTTTCAAAATTGTAACTGATAGACTGCAACTGATAGACTGTCTTTCCAAACCGTCTTTGCACCCTCACTCTTTGACACACTGTCTTTCACACACTTTCTTTGACTGACTTGCCCAAACTCTTGCAACCTTATTTAAACCATTTATTCTGTCCTCTTTCATACCCAGGCTTTCTTTCCCAATCATGCCCTTTCCCACGTAACCTCGATGGGCCAGGTACTTCAACCAGTCTCAACGCATCCCTAAACTTTCACTCGACTTTATCATAAACATTCTTTGCAGTCAAACCTCTTGCACGTGATCACTTTCATGGTCGTACTGATTCTAATGCTCCACGCATATGCAGTGGTGAAGATTTAAACCTCGGGTCTGAAGCTTAATTACGTCAGTATCATCTGTAATATCAATTTCAACTAAACTTGGTATTTTCTGTTCTACCTAGAGAATTCTAAAATTAATATCCTTCTCACAGGGCTCTATTTTTGCACCTGCGCTGTCATCACATTTTCTTAAAGCGAAGAGTGTAACACAATTATCCTTGTCCCCCAGAATATAGTTAATATCTGGATGGAATTTTATAAAACCTTATTTTTCGCGAGCCCAGACTGTGGCAAGTATCGATCCAGACTTCAAACAGGCCATGGGAAGTCTTTGAACCATCGTGCTTCATAATCCTACGATGAAACTTAGGCTCGAGCCCAAACGTTCCACCCTCTAAGCACCGACAATTTTCTTTAAATTGAAATGTTCATTATCGTAAAATCGTGGACTGGCTTGCAAATGAAATTGCTCTTCCCAAGCCTCCCAATGACGTGTCTTTTCAATTACTTCTTTCACCCTCAATTTAGCAAATTGGAAGTATTTTCTCCTATATCCTCGTTATCGCCATTGCTACAATATTAAACAAAATTGCTAGTACTAAAATAGTCTATTTCCTATTCCAAATTATCATTATTACTGTAGCACTTCATACTAATCGTCAAAAATAAATAAATCGGACGCTAATCGCTGTCAACCAGCGATTAATTCAACGCAGAGATACCTGTTGCGATTGATCCTAAAAGCAAGTATTCAAGTGTCCAAAAATTAATCGCTGCAACCGATTTGGTCGGTGTCTATTGCTCGACTGAAATCCGCTGTTTCGTTTCAGAAACCTGGGTAAAGAAACTGGAAGAATACGGTCCCTGGTTCGCGGAGCAGGAGTCTATCAAAGCGAACGAGGCGCTTCGACCAGGAAAGCCAAAGACACACGACGATTTGTTCGGGCTGGACGGATCGTTCCGACAGCTGGTGATCGATTAAACCGAGACAACCCTTCCACGTCGATCAGTGACAACTCGATCAACTTTCATCCCGGTGCTAACGCGAAGAAAATTCACTCTGAGGAGGAGACGTGATAGGACTACGTGTTCGATGAGCAACAACGCGTTACTTCGATAACACGTGCACTTCCGGTGTAAAATTTAAGATGGATCATCTAGACAGATCAATGCAGGATTTCTCCATCATCTCTACATCGAATTATTACACTCGAAATTAATTTTCTGCAGCTGCGATTTTCAATTTTCTCCGTTCTACGATGTCTGTAAGGGAATTGCTGTAATTCCGTTTAAACGATTGCTGTTGTTCTATGATACGAATTTCAAAGTACTTTCGAAATCAGATGCCGAGAGAAAGTAAATAATCGAGTAGATAATCGATTTAAAAATTTTCATGGTACATTTAACACTAGGTTTACAGACGTTATCTGTATACCTATTTTTACATATTTGGCACCTGTCAAATTGACAGGTAAAGGAAACCAGGTGTCCTTTTTTTAACGATTAGTTTAATTTAAAAACAATTATAATATTAACAGTCTTAATATAAGTTAACTAAATCTGTTACCATTGTATAATTGGAGCAACCCCTCCGTCAAATTGACGGGTTCCGTAAATCTAGTGTTAAGGGTGTTTACAATGCACTGCTTGAAAATCGCTGGTCTGGATGTTTGAAAAATTTCAATGGATTTAATGTAACTCGATAGAGATCATTTGACACATTCGAGACCTGTCATTATAAAATGGCGCCCGGAAATTGACTACGTTTTTACGAGTATAATGAAGACTAAAAACTGGCAGAAGCTAGTTAATTTTCTTAATTGTTGCTTGAGGAACTGCTGATAATACGAGTCTCTGCTCGTGTGTAATGTATATATGCATAGTCATCGTACACACATGTGATATATCGAATGATTTGTACGCTACGGTCTCGCATGTGCTAAACTGGAATAAAATTCAGGCATTTGATGGAAGAGGGACACGTAAAAATATTATTTCAAAGTTTTCGGCTCATTTCACGATCATAATCAGTCATGGTACATAGAGCAAGCTACACGCGAGTCTCGAGAGGGACAGAATTGAAATTCGAAGATACTTTTTTTATAAATTTCCAAATATTTACGTGCCCTCTTTTCATTAACCACTTGCGCTGGCAAGAAATTCGCAATTGACAATTGCCTGACGACGTGTATACCACGTGGTTGACGATTCTGCGACAAAAGCATTACGACGTGCGTGGCACGTCTTTCCAGCGCAAGTAATTAATGGTCAATTTCTCACTGCTGAAAATTTCTTCGCGTTCCTCGGAGAATTGTCACTCCAATTGCTTTATTTTCTATGTTGGAGGTGTATGTTTGTAGGTGTTTAATACTTTGTAAGAATTTCTATTTATCTTTTGTATGCCGTTTGCCGCTAGCTATCCATGTATGATGGTCTTGTAGTATTTGTAGTACTTTGTAAAGGATCGTTATTTTTTTTTTAATTTTCTCCCTTTTCGGGCACACATTTGATAACGAGAATTTTTTTATACTAATCGATTTGTCGAGTGACGAATTAAGTACTGATTATACAATGGATACGATTATTTTGGTGAATTTTTGTTTGTCGATAGATTTTTGTAGTTTTGTTGATTTGGAAAATATGGGAGATCGATATTTAATCATCGAGCAGGTTGACAGCTTTAAAGTAATCTCAAAGGTGATTACTTTGCACGGTATTATTCAAGTTTCTTATCATGTGAAGAATAAAGCACTATTTTATTAGACGAAGAATCTTTCAATAGTCCTGGTAGTCAATTATTTATGGATGCTAAGAATTTTTTCGAAATAATTAAACGATCGTTTACCACGTTTCTTGTCTTTTCGTTTCCTACATATTCGTTCGAAAAGAATATTATACGTTTAACCTAAACAGATTATAAATTATTAAATTTTGGTCAACATTTGGTCAATGTTAAAAGATAATTTATTCTCTTCTCTAATTTCTTATATGTGATATTAAAAATCCGAGGTACAGGGTAATCCCAAGAGATCCTCGCAATTGCGCAAAAAGACCATCCTGTAAGTATTAACATAATCGTGGACTCTGGTTCGAAGCGCAAAACAGACGAGCTGCGCAGGTGATTATCCGTATGCAGGTGCAATTCGTTAATTTCGTTGTACCTAATTGCAGCGTGGAAAGTAGGTTAAGCTACGTACATAGAGCGGAGTACTTTCGATTTTTGAAAGTACCTTATTTTCAACTCCACCACCATGTCCCACATAGTGGGGAATAGGCTCGGTTCATGTGCAATGTACGATATATGTGTACGTGTAAAAACTAATGAGTTAACGAGGAAATATTTCTTCCAATTACACTGTAATTTTTGCAACGAACACAATACATAAATAGAGAGGTGCCGTTTTTATCTGAATGGTAAAAGGGAGGAAACAGGGAATGTTCGTTTCTAACAACTTTGTGGTTTATAATGAACTTTGTTAGCGATAGCTGACAATGAATCTATAGAACTGCTTAGCTTTCCTTTTGATGGTTAATTAAGAAGTGATATTTATATTACGAACGAAGAAATTAAACTCGTCGAATCATATATTTTATTCAAATTTAATTTCATTAAAATTTCAATAAAAGTTTTACGATAGTTCCTGTTCTTTGCCCTTGCCTTTCGCTTGAGATATCTAGCATGATGTTCCTCATCTGATGTAAGAAGGTATTGCATTTACATATATATTTTTTAATACACTTGAAGGAGAGCATCGTAAAAGTAAAATGAATTTTTAATGAGGAATATTTAAATGGATTTCCAAATATTTGAAGAAACAAGGATTTAAGGTATCAATTATAAAGAGTCTTAAAAATATATAAGATTGTGAAATTATATATTATTAAAAATTGTTTGGACTAATTGACGAATGTTATACATATGTACGTATGAAGCAACAATATATGTAGAGGATATGTATCAGATATGTATAATTTTGTATGATTTTGAATACATAGCTGTAACAGAAATTGTTTGACACGATATTTTATGAAGCGATTTAAGATTATACCGATTAATAATTTTTCTTCGATCAATTTTATTCATATTATCTCTATGATCTGTATTAATTGCATCCTATAAAATGTGAATTAATCATTTCTTTTACAATGATAATAGAATGCAATGATAAATGAAAGACACTGCGAATACAATGAAAATTCATTTGATGGAAATTTTGTAGAATATAGATGGAAAATTTATAAATGTATTTACTTTCTAAGTACATAGAATAATTGTGCATGTAGTTTGTCATGACCTGTATGTTTTTCTAATTTTAATAAAGGATGAAATAGTATATTATGATTTATAATTTATTTATGCAACCATAACTCACTCCAGTCAATCGTATGCGGAAGAATATAAAAAGAATATATATAAAATAAAAATATATATACAGAGTGCGTGGCAATTTAAAAAACATGAAAGTACACGTCGTGTTTACCACGTTTCTTGTCTTTTCGTTTCCTACATATTCGTTCGAAAAGAATATTATACGTTTAACCTAAACAGATTATAAATTATTAAATTTTGGTCAACATTTGGTCAATGTTAAAAGATAATTTATTCTCTTCTCTAATTTCTTATATGTGATATTAAAAATCCGAGGTACAGGGTAATCCCAAGAGATCCTCGCAATTGCGCAAAAAGACCATCCTGTAAGTATTAACATAATCGTGGACTCTGGTTCGAAGCGCAAAACAGACGAGCTGCGCAGGTGATTATCCGTATGCAGGTGCAATTCGTTAATTTCGTTGTACCTAATTGCAGCGTGGAAAGTAGGTTAAGCTACGTACATAGAGCGGAGTACTTTCGATTTTTGAAAGTACCTTATTTTCAACTCCACCACCATGTCCCACATAGTGGGGAATAGGCTCGGTTCATGTGCAATGTACGATATATGTGTACGTGTAAAAACTAATGAGTTAACGAGGAAATATTTCTTCCAATTACACTGTAATTTTTGCAACGAACACAATACATAAATAGAGAGGTGCCGTTTTTATCTGAATGGTAAAAGGGAGGAAACAGGGAATGTTCGTTTCTAACAACTTTGTGGTTTATAATGAACTTTGTTAGCGATAGCTGACAATGAATCTATAGAACTGCTTAGCTTTCCTTTTGATGGTTAATTAAGAAGTGATATTTATATTACGAACGAAGAAATTAAACTCGTCGAATCATATATTTTATTCAAATTTAATTTCATTAAAATTTCAATAAAAGTTTTACGATAGTTCCTGTTCTTTGCCCTTGCCTTTCGCTTGAGATATCTAGCATGATGTTCCTCATCTGATGTAAGAAGGTATTGCATTTACATATATATTTTTTAATACACTTGAAGGAGAGCATCGTAAAAGTAAAATGAATTTTTAATGAGGAATATTTAAATGGATTTCCAAATATTTGAAGAAACAAGGATTTAAGGTATCAATTATAAAGAGTCTTAAAAATATATAAGATTGTGAAATTATATATTATTAAAAATTGTTTGGACTAATTGACGAATGTTATACATATGTACGTATGAAGCAACAATATATGTAGAGGATATGTATCAGATATGTATAATTTTGTATGATTTTGAATACATAGCTGTAACAGAAATTGTTTGACACGATATTTTATGAAGCGATTTAAGATTATACCGATTAATAATTTTTCTTCGATCAATTTTATTCATATTATCTCTATGATCTGTATTAATTGCATCCTATAAAATGTGAATTAATCATTTCTTTTACAATGATAATAGAATGCAATGATAAATGAAAGACACTGCGAATACAATGAAAATTCATTTGATGGAAATTTTGTAGAATATAGATGGAAAATTTATAAATGTATTTACTTTCTAAGTACATAGAATAATTGTGCATGTAGTTTGTCATGACCTGTATGTTTTTCTAATTTTAATAAAAGATGAAATAGTATATTATGATTTATAATTTATTTATCCAACCATAACTCACTCCAGTCAATCGTATGCGGAAGAATATAAAAAGAATATATATAAAATAAAAATATATATACAGAGTACGTGGCAATTTAAAAAACATGAAAGTACATGTCGATTCTTTTTCCTCGTTATTTATCCAAATTGTTTATCGTTCCTAATCTTTCCATAAATTATGGTACATTATTTTTAAACTCCAGAAGCTCGAACCTTAAAAAAATAGCTTTCCAAAAATTGTTTATAATTAATAGTATACATACATTAAATTAAACTACCTCGAATTAAACGTGGAATAGTCTATTAATAATTTTGCATAATTAACAATGTATCTCTTTCAAGTAAAATTATCTCGAATTAAATTATGCAACACTCTTCTCAAATTTTAAACAAATACAGTAGCATTTTAATGACTCCGTGTAATTAATAGCGTACTCGTCTGAAGCAAAA